TGGGAGCTCCGGGCTGAAACTGACTTTAGAACGCTGAGTATCGGAGCCGGAAGAGGCAGAGTCGCTCGCCCGGGCGAGAGCCGAACTGGGGAAGTTTCCGCACACGCTACACTAAATGGACTTTGCCCTGCCGCGGGTCGGAGTCCAAACTGGCCCTAGAAGGCCGCGGGTGCCCTCGCCCCTCCTCCCGCCCCGCCCCTCTACCCTTCCGGGCTGGCCGGCAGCCGAGGAGGCGGCCTCCCAGGCGGCAGAGGGCGGGCTCGGCCCGGTTCTCTCCCCGCCCCCGGCCCCGGCCCCGGCCCCGGCCCGGCCCTCTCGCCTTCCCTAGCGTGGGTGACTTTGAGCCCGCGTGAGTCGCAGGCTCCGCGCGGCCTCTTACCGCCCCGCCCCCATGCCCGTTATGGCGGCTCCGGGGGCCGCTGCCACAGCTTCGCAGCTTCTCTGCTGGAGGAGCCTGGGTGTGGTGAGAGCCGGGGGCTGGAGGGATGGGGGGGGGGGAACCCTGCGGGAGAGGGAGAATATGTGGGGAAGGGGGACCCTGCGGGAGGACGGCGGAGGGGGATCCTTCGGGGGCGGAGGACCTCAGGTGGCAGAAGAGGGGGTGACGTGAGAAGGTGAGTAGGGTGGGGGGGTGGGAGATCTAAGGCGGAGAGTGATGAACCGAGGCTGTGGAGGGGTCACGTTTGTGGGGGGGGGCGGGGTAGGGTGACTCCGGAGACTGGAACTGGAAGAACGTGGTCTTAGAGCGGGGGAGGGGATGTAGCTAAACCGGGCTAATGGGGTGCAGAGACTGAAGATTGGAGGGGGGGGTCTTTGCTGAGACTTAGAGGCTGGGGATGTGTGTTGGGGTCCTGAGAAGGGAGTGTAGGAAGCCAAATGGGTCATCTCCGGCCAGAGGGAGAAAGCCCGTCCTGTGATTTAGCCGCAGTGACCCCAAGGACGTACCGACCTGGTCTCCAGGTCATGGAACCCCATGCCTTGGTTTTAGGCCTGGAGGCAGGAAGGGAGCTTTTGGGAAGCTGCTGGGCACGGGGCTACTCGCTGGGAATACTGACACCGAAAGGGAAAAGCCCCAGCCCCCGGGGAGTTTACAGTCTAGGGGCTAGGGCCACACACACGTTTATGGGTACGGAGCACGCGTAGTTCTAGGTACTGTCATAGTGCGCATTTATAATAATAGCTGTCATGGAGATGACCTTTGCAAAGCGCTTTACAGAAGGAGTTTGTTCTCAGAACGACCCTGGGAGGTAGGTGCTATTATCCCCCATTTTATAGATGAGGAAACTGAGCCTGAGAGATCAGTGACTTGCCCAGGGTGCCACGGTCAGGACTTGAGCCCAGGTCTTCCTGGTCACTAAACCATTCTGACCCATCTTGGAAGAAGGTCATTGTGGGAGGGAAGGACGGCCCTGGAGAAGGTGGTGCTTGAGCTGTGACTTGAAGGGAGTGAGGAATTTTGGGAGAGGGGGAAGGAGGGGTACATTCCAGGCTGGCAGGGTGGTCCAGAGGGGAATAACACGGAAGAGTAGCCCTCTGTCTGTACCTGTTGTCTCCCCCGTGGTTCATTTATTGCCTTTTATTGTCATTTATTGCACAGTGCCTGGTATGCAGTAGGCACTTAATGCTTGCAGCTTGGTTGGTAAGAAAACTGAAGATAGGGAGGGCTAAGGTGTTAGCTCCTCTGTACACACCAGCACCAGATTCCCACTGCCTCCCAGGCTGTGCTGCGGCTCCTGTCCTCGGAAGTCTGCCTGCCTGCTCCCTCCGTAGGACAGTCCCAACCTCTTCTCTTAGCCTTCAGCTCAGTCCAGGCAACATTTATCGAGTGCCTGCTCTCCAGGGCGCAGTGCTAGGCCCTGATGGCCCACAGACCCTGCCCTCTGGGAGTTTGCACTTTCCTTGGGCACTGTTGATGAGCACGGTGGGCATGGGAAGGGAGATGGACAAAGGGAGGAAACAGAGGAGGCCGAGGCTGGAGCATCACAGGCGATGGCAGTGGGGAGCAGATGCCATGCCTGTGAATTTAGGGAGGCAAGAGATGGCTGATGAGCTCGTGCATGATGCACCCCCCAGTACGGCTGGAACGTGGAGGGTTTGAGGATAATCCTGGGAAGGTAGCAGACGGCCTTAGATGCCACAGAAGCGATAGGGGAGGAAGGTGACTTGGGATGTCATCGATCTAGAGAACCCCCAGGGGAGGAACTTCCCTCCACCAGCGCAGGTCAGCACCTCCTTTGCAAGGCCGAGTCTTAGAGAGGTTAAAACACAACCAGTGGGAATCTGATGTGGGAAGCCAGAGATGCCAAAAAATTTCTTATTCTAAAAGATCTAGGGAACCCTTGAAGGTTTTTGATTAGGGGAGTCATATGGCCAGATCCACATCTTAGGAGGATCCTTTTGGCAGCTGGTGGAGGATGGATCGGAAAGGGGCACGGTCAGAATTAGAGCAGTCAGTTGGGAGGTGTGCCTGGCCGGAGGTCCTCTAGGGAGCAGAGAATGGAGAAAGAAACTGAAGCCCAATGAAACTCAATGACTTGTCTACGGTCATGCAAATAGTAGGCATCTGAGGTGGGATTTGAACCCAGGCCCTTTGATGCTAGAGCCAATGGAGAGAAGGGTCATCGAGGGGCACCGTAGTGCACAGAGTGCCTGGCCAGGAATCGGGAAGACCTGAGTTCACATCCAGCCTCAGACACTTACTAGCTGTGTGACCCTGGGCAAGTCACTTCACCCTGTTTACTTCAGTCTCTTCGTCTGTAAAATGAGGTGGAGAAGACATGGCAAACCACTCCAGTATCCCTGGAACCCCAAATGGGGTCACAGAGAGTCAGACGCAACTGAAATGACTGAACAAGTGGGGAGAAACAGAGGAGTCCCACCAGTGCCAGACATGCTGGAGGTAAAATCCACTTGGCAAATGATTGGCTCTGCAGGCAGATGTCATCTAAGCTTCTTGAGCGCAGGGACTGTTTCCGTTTCTGGCTTTGGGTCACCAGTTCCTAGCCCGGTGCCTGGCGCACAGTAGGTGTTTAATTATGCTTATTGATTACTTGGTTGATGAGAGAAATGGAAGAGTAAAAAGATACTTTCCGGGTTATGAGCCTCTGAGATTCCCTTCCACCAATTCTGTGTGTCATGTCTGTACCCAGTTATGTAGGCGTGGCATCCCGTATTAGAATGGAAGCTCCTTGAGGGCAGGTGTTAGGGGCACCTCTGTGTGTCCACGGTGCTTGCTTAGTGAATGCTTCATGGATGTTTGTTTGATTGATTTGGAGAATAGTCTTGCCCTCCTAAAAAGAAGGATGTTTGAGGTTGGGGTGGGTTCAAGGAAGAGAGAGACTTCATTCTGTGCCTGGCACATAGTAGGTGCTTAATTAATACTTGCTGACTGTGAGGCCCACAGGCTGAATGAAACCGGAGGAGGAGCTGTCCAGCGGACAGCTAGCTGCGGATGCGGTGCGCAGGAGAGGGATGAGGGCTGGGTGTGCCAGCCGTTTCCATCGTCTGCGGGTAGGGTTTTGCCAAGGAGGGAGGAGGGCTGAGCTTGCAAGGAGCAGGGGCTGGGAGGAGGGTGGTGGCCGAACCCCAGGAACAGGGGCAGCAGGGGGTAAATAGCAGCTGGTCAGAAAGCGCCTGGGCTGGCCTGAATCCGATGGAGGAGCTCCCCAGCAGGGGGCCATCCAGCCTCGAGCTCCCCCGCTTGGCAACAGCTCCCCGTGCGTGCCGGCTCTCCTTTGGGTGGGAGCTCTTTGGGGGCACTTCGACGTTATGTTTGTATTCGCAGAGTTGGGCACAGTGCCTGACACAGCATAGGCCCATGGTGAATGCTTTTATAGCCAGTGTTTTGTCTGTTCCCCAGAGAAACTTAGTTCTCGGGTGGGGCAGCTAGGTGGTGTGGTGGCTAATAAAGGGGCCTTTATTAAGCCTCTTCTGTGTGCCTGGCACTGTGCTAAGCACTGAGACTACAAAGAAGGACATTGAAGGAGATAGGGCGCTGTACTCGGAGTTGGAAAGACCAGAGTTCAAATCCTGCCTCAGACATTTAGTACTTCTTTGACCATGGGCAAATCCAGTAACTTCTCTTGACCTCAGTCTTTCCTCATCTCTAAAATGGAGATAATAATAGCACTTAGCTCAAGAGTTGTTGTGAAGATCATGTGTTAATATATGGAAAATAATTTCTAAATTTTGAAAGAGCCATAGAAATGCTATTATTGTCATCATCATTGGATCGTGTGTATACATGTATATTTTGTGTGTATACATACATGTGCGTATGTATGTGTGTTTATGTATACATAGAAGTATTTATGTGTATGTGTGTATGTATACATAGATGTATTTATGTGTATTTGTGTGTGTGTGTATGCATTTCCTTTTTCCCCAAAGAGATCTTTTGAAGAGAGGTAGTCCAGTAGACGCACCACTTAATTTGGACCCAGGAGCCTGGGGTTTGAATCTTGACGAAGATCCAGCCAAAACAACAAAGGAGGATGGACCATATGAGGGGGAGGAGAACCAGGACAGAGGTGCCCCTAACACCCGGAGAGAAGAGACTGTGGAGGAGAAGGTGGTGTCAGTCTGTGGAGGCCAGGAAGGGGGAGGACCTTGAGACAAGGCCGTTAGATCTGGCCGCTGTTCAGTCGTTTCTCAGTTGTGTCCAACTCTTCTGTGACCCCATTTGAGGTTTTCTTGGCAGAGATACTGGAGTGGTTTGCCATCTCCTCCAGCTCATTTCACAGATGAGGAAACTGAGGCAGACAGGGTGAAGTGACTTGCCCAGGGTCACACAGCCAGGAAGTGTTTGAAGCTGGATTTGAACTCAGGAGAATGAATCCCCTTGGCTCCAGGCCTGGCGCGCTATCCATTGGGCCACATAGCTAGGAGATTATTAAATACATGTTTGTAATAGGGATCTTGTTTTTCTTGCTTTCTCAGGTGGTAGGGTGGGGTAGGGAGAGAATGAACTGAAAATAAAATTTAATTTTAAGAAAGAGATCATTAATATCTTCTGAGAGCAGTTTTGGTTTACAAGTAGTATCTCATTTTGTCCTCCCAACAACCCTTCAGAATAGGTGCCATTATTATTCCCATTTTACACATAAACTGAGGCAGAAGGTGGTTAAGTGACTTGCCCAGGATCCCACAGCTAAGAAGTGAATGAGGCCAGATTCAAAGTCGGTCTTCCTGACTCCAGGCCCGGCGCTCTGCGCTCTGTGCTCTGTGCTCCAGGTGCTTTGTCCAAGTGCCCTTGTCTCTCTGTAGTGTCGTCTCCTCTAGTATAAAATGATAGGGTTGGACCAGACGGCTGCTGGGGCCTTTGCAGCTCCAGAACCTGCCTTCTATGTTTGGGCTGACATTCTCTGATGGGTGGATGCGTGGGTAGGCGGCCGCCGTCTGCACGGGACCTGCATTCCCTTCTGAGCTTCTGGAGTCCGTGAGTTATTTATGGGACAAACCCCCACCTCCCTGAGGACCCCCGTCCTTCTTGGGGAGGTTGTGGGCTTCTGGGATGGTGTTGGTCTGGAAGCTCCCTTTGCGGATGCAGCTCAGCACATCCTTCTGGTCCTAGAGTTCCCTGGGGCCCTGCGAGGTTGAGCTGAGCAGCCACTATGTGTTGGAGGCAGGATTTGAATCCAGGTCTCCCTGACTCCAAGGCCAGTTCTCTTCCTAGTGCAGACCTAGTCCTTGCAGATAGGAGGAGGAGGGAGTGTAGTACAGTGGAAAGGGCTTTCGATCTTCAGTCAGTGGAACTAGGTCCAAATCTTGCCTTTGATAGTTACTGTGTGACCTTAAGCAAGCTCTTGACCTCTCTCAGCCTCAGTCTTCTCCTTAATAATAACTTAATAATATTGATAATTAATAATAATAAAACTTATTAATAAGGGGACTCGTTTATATGGCAGTGCCTAGAATACAGAAAGTGCTTAACAAATGCTTTATCTTATTGATAAGCTCCCTGCCAGCTCTAAAGCTATTACCCTTTGAGCCCGGGGCAAGGAGTGGGGGACCCCATCACCACACATTGCTGTGGCCATCACTTCCCCGTGATCTCTCATCCCTCTCTCTCTCTCTCAATGGACAGGTCCCTCTTCTCCGATGTGCCCAGAGAACATTTGCCTCCCAGACCTCGGGGGAGCTCAAAGTGACTCAGATCCTAAAAGAGAAGTTTCCTCAGGCAACAAATATCAAGGTCACAGACATTTCAGGTATGACTTCCTTCAGGCCCCTGCGACCACAGCCCAGAAGAGCTCCTGGCTTGGGACGGGCTGGCCCACAGTCTGCTTCTTTCTTTTTGTTTTTTACTGACCCACAGCAGTTCTCACCTTCCCTTCCACTGGGCCAGCGGGCACAGCACTTCTGAAAGGCAGGAATAATAACGCAAGCCCACATTTCTAGGGGTTCCCTAAGACAGTCCTCATGACTGAGTCCGTTTTACAGAGTCGCCGCTGAATGCGCACTTAGCTCCCCTCAAGGTCTAAATCTCTGATGTTGTGGTAGAGCTCATGAGCCCCCAGTGCATGGAGGACTCAGGGTCAGCAGAGACCCCCTCCTCAGCAGTCGTCATTTTAGCTCTCAAAGCTTTAGTATCCCCGTCTTGCAGATGGGTTAATACTTGGAGAGCCCACCCCAGCGGGTGGTTGTGGGAAAGGACTTGGAAGAATTCCAAACGTCTGAGCTGTGATTCCAGACTGATTCCTCCTTCCGCAGCCATCTCCACTGGAAAGGAATCCCCACTCTAGCCTCCCCTTGAAGTGGTCATCCTGCATCTGCTCACAGACCTCCCAGGAGGAAGGATCCCCTCTGCATCCAAAAGGAGTCATGAGAACCCCCGTGGTGGGCTGGGCTAGGGAAGAGAGAGCCACGCTCAGAGTCAGGGAGACCCGAGTTCAAGTTCTCCTCTGACCCACGTTGGCTGCGTGTCTCTGGGCAAATCACTTAACCTTTTGCTACCACAGGCAATGTTGTCGTTCTTCAGTGGCATCTGACTCTCTGTGACCCCATTGGGGTTTTCTTGGCAAAGATGCTAGAGTGGTTTGGCATTTCCTTCTTCAGCTCCTTTTACAGATGAGGAAACTGAGGCAAGCAGGATTCAGTGACTTGCCTAGGGTCACACAGCCAGTACGTGTCTGAGGCTGGATTTGAACTCAGCTCTTCTGGACTCCAGGCCGAGTGCTACGTGCACGGTGTTACCAGCTGCCCTCTACCCCAGGCAGTAGTCAGACCCTAAGTCGCTAAGCTGATGACAGTCTGAGTCGGGACAGGGAGTTTCCTCACAGGAACTTATTTTCCACCAATGAAATCACACATCTTATTCCTGTGCCCCCCAAACAGAACATCCTGCTGTTTGTTAGCTGTTGAACAGATGATAGCGGGCTGGTCATGGCCCAGAATCGGCCTGCCAGGGCTCCATAGCAAGTGTGGAGCAGACCCAGGAGGGAGGCAGCGGGATGCCCGGGGGAGACCTGGCTTTGACTCACTCCTCGCTAGCAGCCTTGAGCCGGGCACATTCTGTCTCTGAGCCTCAGTTCCCTTTTCTATAAAATGAGAGGTTTGGGCCAGACACCTCCAAAGTCCCTTCCAACTCTCGGTCTGTGATTTCTGCTCTGTGCCAGGCACTGGGAAAATATGCAGAGCCCAGAGCTTGCCCTCGGGGACCTTACATTCTACTCGGGAGGAAAGATACATCACTAAAACACAAAATGATATTGTGGGGGTGGGGGATGAGGGGTGTGGAGCCCCAACTGCCGGGGGATCCCTAACTAAGCTGCCCTGGGGAGGCCGTTGCTCGCTCCCCCAAATGGCATGTTAGAATCCAAGCATTCATCATCTCTTGAGTCTCGGGAATCTTTTAGAGTTCACGCTTGAAGATGCAGCCTGTGAGCTGTGTCAGGGTTGGGGGCGGGCCCTGGGCCTGCCCGACGCTTCGTGTGCTATGTGGGAGTTAACGTGGGAGCTATCAGCTGTCTCCAGAAAGCCCCACCAGGGATCCCAGACATGCTGCCTGTGAGAGATAGGCCCCTGGACCTCCTCTCTACATACACCCACAAGTCTCCCTAGTCTGCGCCACCCCCCGGGTCGCTCGCTACCGACAGCAGCTGCAAAGATATTTACCGTTTCAGCAAGGCTTGCAAAACAGATTTTACTTTGGGAACCCTCAAGAGTGAGAAAATTTAAAATAGGTTAAAAAAACAAAAAATGAGAGCACTGTGATAGGATAGATAATTCTGGACTTGGAGCCAGAAAGACCTGGGTTCAAATCCTGCAGGACAAACATGAATGAGTCCTGGCGACAGACTGACCTTGGAGGTCATTGAGTCCACCCGCCTCATTTTACAGATAAGGAAACTAAGGCACAGAGAGACGTCCAGTGACTTGCCCTGTGTCACCCAGGTAAGGCAGTAGAGAGGGAGGAGTCCAAGCGAGGCTTTCGGTCTGCAGCTGTGGTGTTCTTTCCATTACGCCACACTGCCTCTCTGAATTGTGGCCCAGAGAGGACCTTGTACCTCCCTCTTTCCTTACGTCTTGCCTGTTTGCTTTCTGCATAAATAGCTGCTCTCTGCAGGATCTGGGTGTCAGGTGTCTGGTCTAAGGCCGGATTTGAACTCAGGTTCTCCTGACTCCGGTACCGGTACTCTGTCCACTATGCCTCCTAGCTGCTCCTAAAACCATCATTTTTAAAAAATCCACAACTTATCATCTAAGTGGATGATTAGAATTAGAATCTGGCTCTGTAAGGAGCACACAAATCTTAAGACCGTTCTAATTCCTAATGCTCATCCATGGCCAGAGAAACATCCAGCTTAGTGCCTCTCTGGCTTCCAGTATTTACTCTCTTGTCTGTCCTGACCGCAGATGACGTTGCTTCATCTTGGGTGGGTTCGGAAGCCGTCCCCTGGCCATTAATGCCATCTGGGGCCTGCTTGTAAGCTGTGACGGCAGGCAGCTGGCTAAGAAGTTCTAGCTCATCCAGCCTGAAAAGCTGACCTTTAAACCCTTTTAACATACATTTTATTGATACCTTTTGTCTTTAGATCACAGATGTTTCTGGGGGAGTGGAACAGCCCCCTCTTCCATCTCCTAGATTGAAACCTTCCTTAGGACAGAGACAAACAAGCAAAATGTCTGGTGCTGTGACCACATCAGACAGAGTATACAGCATTCTGCACCAGCAGGCCCCCACCTCTTTACAGTGGGGAAGGCAGCATGTTTCTTACCTGTTCCAGGACCACCACTGGTTTTTCAGTCACTCAGAGTTCGGCTCCCTTTGGTGATCGATCATTTAATTCACACTGTCGTGTCAAATTTTTAGGTGGTTGCGGGTCCATGTATGAAATCCATATAGAGTCAGAAGAATTTGAAGACAAGCGTATTTTACAACAGCACCAGATGGTTAACAAGGTTAGTAGAAGTAATAACCATGTCACATTTCTGCCCCACGTGACAGTTCTCAAAACTTGTTCCTCACAACCAACCTGTGAGGTCAGTGTTCAAGGACTATTGTCCCCATTTTACCTAGGAGCAAACTGAGCCCCAAGAGGTTAAGTGCTTTCTCCCCCGTGTCACTAAGCTAAGGCACTGGCAATACTTGAAGACAGCGTCATGACCCGTCCTTCCTGCCGCCACCGCCACCCTCGCCGCCAAGCCTTCTTTTCTCTGTTTCCTCCAATCAGTCATGCTGTGGCATAGATTCAAGCTCGGCCTTCCCCGTCTGCGTGTCCTCCTCTGGACTTTCTCCAGCTTATTTATCCTTGCCCTTCCTAAAGAGGGGTCCCTAGAGCTGAATGCAGTGCCCCACGTGAGGCCTGACCAGGCTTTGTGGAGGAGAGGGAGGGGAGAGCCTGGCTGTGCATCTTCCTGCTATTCTGCCAGGGGCTCCCACCGTGCGCCCTCAGGAAGTCCTCTGCCCCACTCCAGCACTCCTTTCCACTCTATCCCAGCTCCCTCCTGTGGGATTCTTCTTCAGGTAGGGGTTGGACTAAAGGACCCGTCCAGTCTGTTCTGATGGGTCCTGATCCGGGCCCAGTGCCTGGAAATGACTTGTGTGCTGGCCCCGGGCCCTCCTTCCCAGGGTCCAGTGCACAGTGAACCTTGTCCTTCATCCCTTGTGGACAGATTGTTTCTCAGAAAATACAGTCCTGGCTTTGAGGCTCCTTTTGTTAACTGTTGCTACCCAAAAAATGAGAATGCTCTTTTGTTTATTTAGGCGCTAAAAGACGAGATCAAAGAGATGCATGGGCTGAGAATATTCACGTCGGTCCCAAAGCACTGAAGCCTTGCTGGGGGCCTAGGGCTACTGCTCCTGCCGCCGCTGGAAGGCGTCCTGGGCGTCCCCAGGACGGATGCCATTCTCCCAAAGCGTTTGCCCTCCACGGTCTCCTGTAGTTTCCAGCCTGTCTCTCCATACTCTCGTGATCAAGGAGTGTTTGGGCTGTTTAGATATTCATTAAAGACAAAAGACTGCCATGACTTTGGAAACCTTCTTTTCTGACCAAAGTCACTGTCTTTCTCTGCTGACTGGTAGCTGGGGTTTTCCATCCCTGGCACCGTCCAGGGCCACACACTAGTACCAGAGACCAGAACTGATGCGTCCATCTACTCGAACTCATGTTATTACCCAAGGGAAGGCCACACCCCAGCTCCTTTTAGGTTCCCACCTGTTGCTTACAGGGGAACGCATGAATTTAAGCTCGTTTAATAAAACATGGAGATCACGAGTCACCTCACGTTTGCCCTGGGGCATCTTGTTCATTTGATCCTGACCAACAGTCCTCTAAGGGAGGTGGTGGGGGTATTGTGGGGTGGCCCTAGACTTGGAGTCAAGAAGAGACCTGGGTTTGAATTCTGCCTGTGACACAGCCGTGGGATTGTGGGCAGGTCACTTAACTTCCCTGAGCCTCAGTTTCTTCTGTAAAATGGGGATTATCTCACAGGGTGGTTGTGATTATGACCTCTGGGACCCTCTAGGACCTAATTGAAACACCTCTGTTTGTCATTTAAAGTCCTTCAAAAACTGACACCAACCTGCCTTTCCAGGCTTCTTGAATGTCTGTCACCTTCGTACATTCTACAGTGTTGCTAAATTAGCTGCCTTCATATTCTTCACGCGCAGCATTCTGTCTCCCTCCTAGGTGCCTTTGCCCTGACTGTCCCTCATGCCAGGTGCGCCTTCGTCCCTCACTTCTGTCTCTTAGAATCCCTGGTTTCCTTCAGTGCTCAGCTCAAGTGCCACCTTCTACCTAAAACCCTATTCCTCCCAGCTGCTATTGCCTTCCCCCCTCAAATTACATTCTCTTTTTTGTTTATCCTTGTGTATGTACCCGTTGTCTTCCCCAACTGGAGTGTAAGCTTCTTGAGGGCAAATACTATTTCCTTTTTGTCTTTGTGTTTTCAGTGCCTGCATACAGTAGGTGCTTAATAAATACTTATTGATGATTATCAGATGAGAAAATAATGTGTAAAGCATTTTGAAACCTTAAAAATACTGTAGAAATATCAGCTCTTATGGTCATTGCCATCTTATAACGTGTATCTTCTATTGAACCTAGCAATGTGCTCTGCACCCAGTGGATGTTGGACAGATGCTTGTTAAAGGAACCTCTGCTTCCATCTTACAGATGAGCAAACTGAGGCTTAGAGAGGGGAAAGAATTTGCCCAGTCACACAGCCAGGAAGTGTTGGCAGTGAGACCAGCTTGGTGAACACAAACACAGACAACACGATGTAGGGGACATCAGAGGCCAAGGACCTGGGTTCAGATCCCCACTCTGTCACAGATGATGTGACCCTCAGGTCTTTGGTTTCCTTATCTTTAAAATGAGGCAGGGAGGGGGACTAGATTTCTGAGTTGCCTTCCAGCTGCGTGTGTTAAGTACCTTAACAAGTACTTACTACATTCCTTTTATGTCCAAGGTACAAGGAACTGGGGACACCAAGGAAAAGATGGAAACATCCTAAAGAACTTACATTCTCCTGGGGTCTACAGCCCATGGAGATATAAGGGAATAGTAGATTAAGAGGAGATGGGGAGCACTGATCATTATGGAGATGAGGAAAGAATGATTGTAGGAGGCGACCATGGAGAGATGCTGTGCAGAGATTCTAGAGACTGAAGGTAGCAGAGGAGAGCATTCCAGGCATGGGCGACAGCCAATGCAAAGACAGCATTGGAGGCTGACTTAGGTGAGGGGACAGAGGTTCCAAGGAAATGATGAGATCCACCATGTCACCGTGACAACATGGTGGGCTCAGTCAATAAGATGGCCACATGCATTCAAGCCTGGGAGCCGATGGAGCTGAAGCTCACATGTACTGATAGTTTCTTGAAATCTGCAAAGGCAAGAAGAGATGGTGGGAAACACTTGGGCTTGAAGTCAGAAAACAAACTCAAAACCCAGATCTGCCTCTTAAATGATTTCTGGCCTTTTTCATCTCAAAAGATCATGTGACCTCAGTCTCATTAACAAGCATTCACCATCTCAGTGAGCCAGCCACAGGTTCTAGTAACACTGTCTCTTTGGTAGGGAAAATTAATCAACCAATTCACAGACATTCATGGGGCACCTGCTACGTGTCCCCTCTGAGATTACCTCCCCCCTCCTCTGTCTGTATCTTCTTGGTACTTAATTATTTACACACTGTCTCTTCCGTTAGACTGTGGGCTCCTTGTATCCCCAATTCCTGGCACTGAGTAGGTGCTAAATAAAGGCTGCCTTCCTAGTACTTACAAACAGTGCACTAAGTGCTGGGGAATGCAAATATACAAGTGAGAATCCCTGCCCTCAAGGAGCTTATGTTTGACTACTAGAATACAATGGGTGCACAGATAAATGTGTGATATGTATGTATGTGTATTACGTATGCATATACACCTATATACATAAATGTTATATAATGTGTATACCTTATATATACACACACATAAAATAAATAAAGAGTGATGGGAAGAGGTGCTAATAAACCGGAGGAATCAGAAAAAGCCTAGAAACTCGTCATTTCTAACGTCATCCGTGTCTTTTCTCAAGCATATGATTTATTGGGTGTAGCTGATCTCTCACTAATAAGGACACGACTCCTTTGGCAAAACCCTTCGTGTTGAAGATTTTATTGGTGCTATTTCTTTTTTGTACCAGCGTTCTTCCTAATACCGCCACCTCCCATAAAATCTTCCCACGTGACAAAGAAAATCCTTTTAGCCCAACAAACAGCCATGTGTGTGAAAATGTATGCCATATTTGGATCCTAAAGTCCAACACTTCTTTACCAGCTGGAGGAAGATATGTCTCATCAGTTTTCTAGTAAAAAGACTGATCAGCGCATTTAATATTAGCTCTGATGTCTTTCAGTATTATTTTCATTTACGTTACATGGGAATACTTGTGTAAACTGAGACAGAAGGTGAGAAGAACCAGAGGGGTATGGAAATTAAAAGAACACCAACAGGAAAACGAATTCTGGGTAATTGTAGTGAATAATCTTAGTGGGCTAGGTGTTGCCGTGTTGAATGGAGTGTCAGGCCTGGAGTCAGGAAGGCTCAACTTCCTGAATTTAAATCTGGCTTCGGGCACTTACCAGCTGTGTGATCCTGGGCAAGTCACTTAACTCTGTCTGTCTCGGTTTCCTCATCTGTCAAATGAGCTGGAGGAGATGGCAAACCACTCCAGTACCTTTGCCCAGAAAACCCCAAATGGGGTCATGAAGAGTCAGACACTACTCAAATGACTGAACAAAGCTATGTATGTGCTGAGCAGTTAATGACTTTTGATGTCCCACATTTTTTTCTTAGACTTTTTAACATGTCCCATGTTGTCTGATTAAAAATTTTGTGTGCTTTACCAAAATTCTTTTTTTTTTAAATGTTTAATGTGCAGGAGAAGGAAATGGCAAAACCACTCCAGTATCTTTACTAAGAAAGCCCCAACTGGGGTCACAAAGAGTTGAACATAAAAGAATTTAGTAACAACTCATGCTATATATTCTTCTGGTTCTGCTCTTTGCTCTGCATCAGTCCTTAAAAGAGGGAAAGAATAAGCACTTATTAAGTACCTACTTGTGCCAGGCACTGTGCTGACAAATACCTCATCTGATCCTCACAACAGCTCTTCAGGGTAGGTGCTATTTTAATTCCCATTTTACAGTTGAGGAAACTGAGGCAAACAGGTTAAATGACTTGCCCAGGATCACACATCTAGTGTGTGAGGCCAAATTTGAACTCGTCTTCCCGATTCCAGACCCAGTGCTCTATTCACTGCTCCACTTAGCTGCCTCAATCTATCAATTTGGCAAAGATGACAGAACACAAAAATGGAAATTGATGGAGGGACTATGAAAAGATAGGCACACTCATGTACAGTTGGTGGAGTTGTGAATGTTTGAACTGTTCTGGAAAAGTTTGGAACTATACAACATAAGCCACAAAACGATACTTAGCCTTGGACCCAGCAATAGTAACATGAGGCTTATATTCCATGAGGATCAAAGCATGAAAGTTAGGTCCATTACATACCCCACTAGGGCAAATTGGGTGTTCGTCAAAAAGCATTTACCATGTGCCAGGTACTGGGGACACAATTACAAAGGATGAAATAATCCCTAGTTACAAGAGCTTGTATTCTGATGGGGAAGATAAAAAGGGCACACGAGTAATATACAGAATAAAGAGGAGAAGCACGAAGTGGCTAAAAAGCAGGTGATCTGGGCATGGGCACCAGCAAAGCTTTCATCCATTGAAAACTAGTTAAACAAACTATTAGAGGAATGTGATGGAGTATTATTGCAACATGAGAAATGACAAATACAATTGCTTGTATGACCTGATGGAGAATTGGTTGTCGTCCTTTTTGCTTGAAGAGGACCTCAGTGACACTGCTACGTTAGGGTCAAGGTCCGGTGTGTCCAACTGTGGCCGACCAGAACAGTAAGAGCTCGGGCTGCTCAACCACAGAACCAGCACGGTTCACACGGTGGCCACAGTCAGCCCCCAGCCTCTAACTTCAGTCTAATTTCTCCTCATTGACTCATTTCCCTGCCCTTCCCAAGCTGAAGGGCAGCACCACTAATGAGAGGCTGCTGGACAGCTCCAACTCATCGTTGCCGTTCATCTCAAGCTCAACATGTCCAAAATGGAACTCGCCATCCCCCCAGACTCTTCTCTCTTCCTAATCTGATTCCAATCTCTCTTTCAAGGCTTATTGTATGTTATTTCCCTTCACACACCCAACCCCTAATCCCATTCTTTCTCCTCACTGTAAGTAACCCTCTAGGGTCTAGGCCATCACCTCTTCAGTGGCTACAATCTTCTTCCTTCCCCATTTTAACCTCTTGGTGAACCAATTCACTTCCATACTATACTCTTTATCTCAATCAGTTAAGAAGCATTTATTAAGTGCCTACTATATGCAAAGCACCATGCTAAGCACTGAGGGCAAAAACACAGTCCGGCCTCTCTAGGAGCTGCCGTTAGGAGCTGCCGTTCTAACGGGCGACTTAAGATGGAAATAACTGTGGACCTTACCTGTGACTGTATTCTACTTAGGGTCATTGGATCATAGATTTTAAAGAAAGATGTCCCAGCCAGAATCCTCAAGACAAGCAGCTGTGAAGTGACTTGCCCGGGGTTACCCAGCTAGTAAATATCTAAAGTGGAATACGAACCCAGGTCTTCCAGACTTCAAGGCCAACGTCCTGTTCACTGTTCACTATGTCAGAGGGCCTCATCAGAGGAGTCCCAGGGTGGGAAGGGACCTCAGAAGCCAATGAAGCCAACCCACTCCTAATCTAACATGATGAACCCCAGTCCCAGGGAGCTCGCTGTATCCCAAGGGAGCCGACTTCCATTTTCCGAGTTCTTTTTAATGGTCAGGAAGCCCTTTCTTAAGATGAGCTGACAATGGCTTCCACCCATTACCTTGTTTTGGTCCTTTGAGAATGGACAAGGAAAATGCGTCTCCTTGCACATGACCACCCTTTAAATCCTGGAAGACTCTCCTGTCTCCTCTCTCTTCAAGCCCCCTCCCCACACCCCCCATCCCTTCAACTAGTCCTGTTAAGGTGGTGTTTCTAGCCCCTTCGCTATTCTAGCAACTCTTCAGCTCATTAACATCTTTGCCAGGATTTGATGCTCAGACCTGCACATAATCCAACCTCTTTCATAAAAAATTTAAAGCACTTACCCAGTGTGAAGTGGCATTTTCCTCCTTGGTGTTACTACAGCAATTATTGTCTCTGGCCTTCAATTCCTTTGTAATCTAGCCCCCGACCTGTTAGCAGACTGATTTTTCATCACTCCTGGCACGTTCCGTGTTCTGGCCACACTGGCCTACGTGGGGTTCTCCTATACATGTTCCGCCTCCCCCCTCCTCACTTCCACACTTCCATCTCTTGGGACCCCCAGATCCATCTGAATCTTAGCCTGGATGCCACTTCCTAGATGAGGCCTCATTGTGAAGGCTTCTCCCCACCCACGCCCTTGCCAGAAAAGGCTTTGAATAGATTTGATTTTTACTTATACGACCACAGGAATACAGATTTAGATCAAAAAGAGAATTTCAGGCGCCATCTGGTCCAACCCCTTTACTTTACAGATGAGGAAACCAAGGCTCAGGACTAAGTGACTTGTCCCAGATCACACGTTTACAAAGTGGAAGAAACAAGATTTGAACCTGTGTCCTCTGACTACATTGTGTGCTCGTTCCATTAACTTTTCATGTGTCTCTCATCTGCCAATCAAGGTGCCAAGGAGAATGAGGTCAGGTTCCCCCACTCCTTTACACGCCCCCTACCCACCATGGTTCCTGGGGGTCCCCTCTCACCAGAAGCCTGGGCCTTTTCTGTTCTCTGCCTGGGGTCCCAGCTGATGCCTTCCTCTTCCTTAAGAGTTCGACCCTTCAGTGACCTCAGGCCCGACACAGACAGTTAGGCTGTTTGAGAAGGAAACCCTCGGCTGACACTGCCAGGGTATAACACCTGTCCTGTTGTGGTCAGTCATGGTAAGCAGAGGAAATCTGCCCCTCCCGCCCCCCCCCACCCCGGGCTGTATATTTGTGGCCTAGATCTTCCTGAGAGGACAAACATAGCCTGGCAAGTAGGCTGTTCTCCCTCTAGTCACGAGTCACTAAAATGTATTGTCTGTTCATTTAGCCTTTTCATCAAGAGGACAAACATTTCTGCTATTTGATAATGCCTCGGGCCCATGGTTTCACGTGTGTGGGCTCCCTCTACTGATGCAGAGTGAGGATACAGCTTTCTAGGGAGAGGAATAACCCCAGCATCGTGTCAGCGGGGAGGGCCCACACTCGAAGGCATTCTAGGTTGGAGGTCCGTCCAGTCAGCTTTGTGCTCTGTTGGCTGGCACAGCTTTTGTGATCCCAGGGCATGACAAGGCACCAGCCAAGGAGAAACTGAGGCTGTCCTCGGACTGTCGGTCACAGCCTTGAGAACCTACTGGTTTTTTTCCAACACCCAGAAATCAGACCAAGTCATTGTTTTCTTTCCACATGCTTTATTCTAGTGAAAATAAAGTTACAAAAGTCGATACAAAACACTCTTTTAAAAAGTTGAGGGAACTTACGGAGGGAAAGTCACTAAAGCTTCTGGAATTGATGTAAAAAACATTATAAAAACTTTCTGGGTCAGAACCAAGGTTAGCTCAGGCAGACTACTTCTGAAGGCAGCGATTCATCTGTAAGAGTGGCAGAACTGGGGCTGGGCATTAACCAGTCCTGGTGGGAGGGATGCACGGGCCACCTGGCGCATTGCCCAGGTCTCGTCCTCGTATTCCACTGCTCACAACCAGTTTTCATTCACGGAGCACTCTCCAGGAACAGAATGTGGTATTAACAGAAAAGAACCCAAGTGGATTTCAGGTGTGGTATCTTCAATCTAATTAGCCCTCTAACACACCACTGAATGAATACAGAATTTTCTGGAACTGACATTGAAAATCAAAATGAAGTAAGGGCATTCTAAGGCAGCTTCCCCTCTTCTAATTCACACCGTTCTCCCCAGAGGTTGCCCTGATAAAGACGCAGGAAGACAGAAAAAAATGTGACCGACTTCGCTTTTTGGTTAGGACGCTAGAAGCAAGCCCATCCACTGGACAGGGCACCAGAGGGTATGGACAGGGAGCTCACACGGCCACTCTGGCCTGGGCTCCTGCCTGTGTAATGAGCATGACGGGCAAGGAGGCCACAGAACCTCAGACGGGAAGGACCTCAGGGTCACTGAGTCTAGCCCATCCTCAAACAGGAATCTTCTCTACAACAAGACCAGACCAAGCAGCATGGGGAACCCACTAGGCCTCCGGAGGAAGGAGCTGTCCCTTCCAGCTCTACTGTTAGTGGCCTATATGTGCCCTGTTCCCTTTGTCTTTGGAAACAGCACCTGCCCAGTACCTGGGGCAAGCCTACAGCACCAAGGGAAGGAGGGAGGGAGGAAACCAGTTCTCATTAACCACCAATATTCTTTCTACCCTACAGACTGGCTTACACTGTCTTTTAATTCTGGTTAGGTCAAGTCAAAGACTTTCTCCTCAGTCTTCATGAAAGTTAAGATGGATACCCAAAACCCTATTCTAGGAGTAAGAAAGGGGCACTGGAGGTCATCTGGGTTCACCCATCCCTACAGCCTCTCCACCAAGGGGACCCTGTTCACTGTCTCCAAGCACCTTCTCTAGACAGGCTCCTACCAGTCAAAGGAATGTCGGCTAGGTTACTTGTTTTAGTTACGATCCTGTCAACAGGCTTCCACTCACAACGGACCTGTCTCATATTTTAATGGCATCATTTTACAAGCCCCCAGTGGCTTTTCAGAGAGGTTCTTCCAATCCACAGACCCTGTGAGACTTCGGCAAGCCCTAACCAATAAATGCAGCACTTAACAAATGATCTACACATGAAGAGCTGGCCAGCTGACCACTCCTCCCCCAGCAGGAGTGCCCAATATTAGAATACCTACGCAGGCTGGCCTGGGAACCGACCTCATCTATCAAATAAAGGGGTTCTTAACGTTCTTTTCTGTCAAGGACCCCTTTGGCAATCTGAAACCTGGGCACCCCTTTGAAACATAGATTTAAATGCATAAAAAAAAATACATAGGATTACAAAGGCAACTGATTCTACTGGAATAAAATGATTCAAACAGATAAAAACACTAAGTTGGGACCCCAGCCAGGTCACAGACCCTGTACTGCCCCCTTCCAGCTTGAAATCTTAAGACTAAGTATATAAGCACCTAGGAGAGAATGTGATATAGTGGTCAGAATCCTGGGCTGGGCCCTGCAGACCCAGGCTCAGGCTCTGACCGGGGTCGTGCTGTGTGACCTCAGGCAAATCACTGCTTCTCTCTGTGCCTTCCTTTTCTCAGCTATAAAGAGAGAGAGCATCACTGAACTGGGCAGGGATAGATTGGGTTAATGGTTCCTTCTGGACCTCTGATCCACAGATTGAATGCTACTGACTCGGGTGAGTTTTTACAGGAGAATGGGGGACTTCCTACGTATTTTAATGTAAAACTAGGAAAAGATTAGAAACCAAGCCAGCAGCTGGGTATACATACTCCTCCCCTGCAAGTTTGAAGAAACAGTTTTCAAGCCAAGCAACGCAAAGTTAAAGCTGGAACCTGATCAAAAACTCTGCGGATGACAATCTGCTCACTGTTGAACTCAGCAGCAGGACACTGTTGGGTTAGTCCGATGATCCGCCGCTGCATGGGGGAAAGCCATCTGCCCCCCCTCCAATCACCTGCCGAACAATACAACCCTGGCAATGATGGATGGGGGAAGGGTGGGGAGGATAAGAAAAAGAAAAATGAGCTACACTGGATCCTTTGGGGGTCGCGTCCTGGTGGGATTAAATGTGTTTGTAAAGTTCACATTTAAGATTCTCTCTTCTGGTCAGCACAGACCAGGCTCACAGAAGAATCAAAGAGAGGTGACCAAGCAATGGTGAGACCCATAGTAAGTAAGGCCTGGACATGGAGGGGAGTTGTCACGAAGGCTGTGAGGGCTCACAGGTGGGACAGCTGCACCGGTGGTGTGGGAAAGGCGAAAGGAACCAGGGGAAGGCATCTGTCATACTGGGTGGATCCTTTCTGGCAAGACATGGGTGACGACTGCCCGGGGAGCAGTGCGGAGGGCCTGTGATCTCCCTGGTGGATGATGGACCTTCCCAATGGGCTTTGGTCAAGATGGATGGTTTTACTGGAAACCTTAACAAACATTTTCTGTAAGTATGTCCAGCTCCAGGGATGGTTCCACTAAATGACACAAACAGGTGGAACCCAAACAAACTGATGGTTAGGTATTACTCCTCTCTCTCTTTTGATGGACATCATCAAGATGGCTGCCCAGCGGCCTCTCCAAACCCTGGGCCTGCCCACTGGGGGGATGCTGGTGAAGCCAGCCCAACACCCACTGCCTCAGCCCTGGGGAAGCACGGGGTCAGAGAATCCTGGAGCCTGAGCTGGAAAGGACGTCAGAAGGCATCCAGCCCAATCCCCACATTTTACAGATGAGGAAACTGAGGCCAACAGAGGCTAGATGACGTGCCCAAGGTCACACAGGCGGTTACTGTCAGAGGTGTTATCTCCACAAAGAGCCAGTCCTCAATCCCTACCCAGCGAGCCTGACACCTCATTTTAAGGAGAAAGAAGAAGGCCTAGAAAAAAGAAGACGCTTGTCCCAGATCACACAGGTTAAGTCAAGGGCGGCGTCGGCAGGACCTGGAGCCACATTCTTTGACTCCAAAGCCTCAGCTTCTCCCACAAACTCACTGTTATCCTCCCCTTTAGGAACCAACTAGAAAAGATTTTTCCCTCAAAGAGAAAATACATTTTGCCCAGAATGATGTGATACAAAAACACACTAAGCACACAAAGGAGATGCTTTTCCCCCAGGGTCCAACTTGTCCTGTGGGTGACTGTTGTAAGGGAGCCCCTTAGACAGTGGCCCTTCAAAGAAAGCCCCCCCTTCCGGGCTCCTCTTCCTCCTCTCCGTGGCCTCCCTGGAGTCCCCAGTAGCGGGACCTTTCCACCCTATGTGAATGGCCTCCTTAAGGCAGTTAAGGTTCATTCAAAGTGCATGGAGAAAAACTCAAAACAGAACCAAATAAACTTGAAACAAATAGAACTCAAGCAGTACTAAATGCATGAGGAATCGTCTTCTCATCCAGCATTGCAAATGTGGAAAATTAAAAAACAAAAACACAACGAGAGCGTCTTTGAGACCCGGTTCTGCACACAGGGCATTTCTGTTTTGAAAAAAAAAAAAACCCCCTACTCCCACCTTCCTAGAACGCAAAAGCTCCCAAGCATCAGTGAATTGGAACTGGGCCCTTTCACACACTAAAGTCTATATTTAGAAATCCTATAATTCATTTAAGGAAAAAAAAAAAAAGCACCATGCTCCCTCCCTTGAGGGAATCAATGCCCAAAATCCAAGTCCTGTCTCGGTCAGAAATTCCTTTGGTTGCTGGTGGGCCACCTGTTAGCAGTGGGCTGGGTCCCAGGAGGTGCAGCCTATCAGAAGAGTCATTACCTTCACTGCTCCTGCACACTCTAAAAGTATAGATGGACATTTTTTTTTCTCATCCTTTGAGGAGAAAAGATCCAGTAGAACAATAAAACAATCCTTTCCCAAGTTCTGGACAGGCTGCCCCAGCGTCTCTCTCGAGACCTTTTCCCAAAGCTCTGAGTCTACTGATGGCGGGTGGGATGTGTTAAATGCCAGGCCTACCCCCACCCAGCACTGCGAACACCGTAAAAAGCAACAGGAGAAAAGGGGGTGTCGGACCCAGAATCAGAATTTCTGCTTAAAAAGAAAAGCCCGTGAAGGACGTCGGAGCCCTTGCCCTCCCCCCCACCCCACCCGGGAACAAGTAACAGCCAGCAAATCCACAGGCTGCAGGCGACAGAAGAAATAACTAGGATTAACTACCCAGGATGCCCCCAAGGGGTGCCCCAAAGCAGAGGGGCAAAGGCTTTGGCCTGGCTGGCTCCAGGCAAGACAAAGAGGTGCGGTTCCACTGAGGCACCCAAACTGAACAAGAGGCAGTGACCCCTTGCAGCAGGGGTGACCAGGGGCTGGGTCAGGCTGGGGGTCGTCCTTCTGGGGCCCTCTATCTGTCCTTTGAGCCAAGCTTTTCAATCAGCTCCTGAAGAGGCGCCAGCTCCCGTCGGTCAATGAGATTGAACTCCTGGAGGGCAGAGAGGGCAGGGAGGAGAGAAGGGAGAAGAGGAGAGAGAGAAAGAGAGAGAAGGAAGAGGAGAGGAAGAGGAAAAGGGACAGAGGGGAAGGGAGAGGGACAGGGGAGAAGGGAGAGAGAGGAAAGAGGGGAGAAGGGGGACAGGAGAAGGGGTAAGGAGAGGACAGAGGAGAGAGGGAAGAGGAGAGGGGAGAGAGGAAAAGGGGAGGGGAGAGAGGAAAAGGGGAGGGGAAAGGAGAGAAGGGGGACAAGAGAAGGGGTAAGGAGAGGACAGAGGAGAGAGGAAAGAGGAGAGAGGAAAGAGGAGAGGGGAGAGGAGAGGGGAGAGAGGAAAAGGGGAGGGGAGAGAGGAAAAGGGGAGGGGAGAGGGGAGGACAGAGGAGAGAGCAAAGAGGAGAGGAGAGGGGAGAGGAGAGGAGAGGGGAGAAGGGGGACAGGAGAAGGGGTAAGGAGAAGACAGAGGACAGAGGAAAGAGGAGAGGGGAGAGGAGAGGGGAGAGAGAGGAGAGTCACCAAATCAGTCCACAATTCAACCTTCTTATGCATCACTCCCTCCATGGACAAGCACTTATTAAGCACCACATATAAGCTGTAGATGGAGGAGACTGGGGTTAGGAGGTCCTGGGCAGAGGGAGCTGCTGGATACAGAGGTCCCCTCCATCAATGCAGGTCAGTGTCTTCTCTATGTGTATCCTGACTTAGTTGCTTAGAGCAGCTAGAGGGTGCCACAATGCAGAGAGTACTGGGCCTGGAGGCAGGCAGACCTGAGTTTGAATCCTGCCTCGGACATTTCCTAGCTGGGTGACCCTGGGTCAAAGGGTCCCAGCCTGCTTCCCAGAGCCGCTAAGGTGCCTGGGCCAGATGGTGTCAGAAGTGGGACCAGACCCCAGGGCTTCTCAGCCCACCTCCCACTCTCCCCTCAGAGTTAGGAATGACAATCATGACAGATCCTTCTCAAGGGCTCCAGAGATCCCCGCAGAACAAAGCTTATTCTGTGTGAGTCCCCTGAAGAGAGTGGAGGCTTCACAACTTGAAAGGCACAACCACGAACTCTCTGTTCTGACATTTTCACACGCAATGGTGATTATCTGAAGGCATACAAGGCCTGCCCATCTGAGACCCTGCTGCCGCCTCCTCTGTTTAAGGCTAGGAGGCAGCGGGGCTGCAGCCCCAGGGGATCTCGGCCTGATGACTCCTGCAGGCCAAGGAGTCAATGCCCTGAAACGCAGTCATCAAAATATCTTTTTTAAAGTCCATGGGACCTCAGGTCATTTAGCCTCTAGACAGATAAGCTTTCAGAGAAGGTGGATGCCTACACTGGTGAAGGGCGTTTCCTCATCTGGGAGTTCCCACATAAATGCAACCACGGTCCAATCCCTATCCCTGTGTCTGCGTGTACGCAGCACTTGTTGGTCAAACTAACTTTCCAAATCCAAAGCCGAGTTGAAGCCTGGATTCAAATCCCACCTTTTCCAAATGGGTGCCCATCACCACACACATCTACACTCTCTCTCTCTCTCTCTCTCTCAACACTGGGAGCTCCACCCCTGCATGACAAGTGGCATTCCTGAGATCCGAGTTCTGGGGCTGGAAGCAGCAGCTCAGGCCCAGAGACTAAGGGGGCTGGGGCCTTCCCTCCCGCAGGGAGCCCCGCGGCCCCTCCCCTCCCCCGGGAGTCCGACGCACCTGCACGAAAAAGATGAAGTGCTTGAAGGAGGTGTTGAGGTGTGCCTCCTCCTGCAGCTGCATCACCGCGTCGAAGTGCTGGTAGTAGATGTGCGCGTAGACGCGGAACAGGCGCTTCAGGATGGTCTTGGCCACCGACATGAAGTTCTTGGGGAACGGGACCCCTGGGGGCAGAAATCCACTCGGTCAGCCCGGGAGCTGGCTGGTCAGTCAGTCAGCAGCGCACATGGCCGGGGCCGTCAGCCTGCCTCCTTTCTCTGTCGAGGAGCCTTCCCCGGAAGGAGCCCTGCCGCGTGCTCGTGGGGCGGAGGTGAAGCAGGGGCGGGCTGGGGGCCGGGGGCCGGAGGAGGCCAGAATTGGTCTGTCTCAGGCCAGGTCAACAAACACTCATCCGGAGCCTACTTTTTATCGCTAAGCTGGGCACGGTGCTCAGCACCAGCTGACTCTGCTTAACTGTCCACAAGGGAGGGCTGCTCCTGTGGGGAGGGGTGCCGGGGACTGTCCCCAGTGTTCTGGGCCAACCTGATGACCGGGTGCAGCCCCCAGGAAGAGACAAGGAGATGGACCTCCTCCTCCACTCCTGGCAGGGGTGGGGACCTACGGGTGCAGAGCACAGCATACGCTTTCCGCCTGCCCATGTGCAAACGCGTTTTGCTGAACTCATGTTTTTCCTCTTCCTTTTTATTCTTTGTTACAAGGAAAGGTTTGCTGGATAGGGGAAGGGAGATGGGGGGGCTGAAGGGTGGAATGAAGGTGAAAGAAAAACAAAAGCTTTTCACATATTTTTAAAAGGAAAAAACAGCAATAAAATTTTTCTTTAAAAGAAAGTGGTCCTTTGAAAGCAGGAGACCCCACCATTTTGGAGAAGAGAAGCTACTTTACACTTCACAGATCTGGGGGTGTGGACGGGGATCCCGGGAGTTCCTACAAGGTGAACCTTCGGGACAGAACAAAAAGTCGGCAGCTTTCACAGGTACTCCGCAGAGGCTGAGCCGAGCCAGCGGAGGGAACGTCTGCCTGTCCCTCCCTCATCCGCTGATCCCTCGCTCGTTCATTCACTATTTGCTGAGGACTCCTCAGTACACCGCACAGTGACTCCAGACCCAGCCCGTCTCCTTCCTCAGGACAGCCCAACCCAGCGAGCCCTGCTTAAGAGTCTCAGTCAGTCAGTCAGTCAGTCAGTCAACAAGCACTTACTGACAACCCAGGACGTGCCTAATGAGGTGGGAGTGGGCACAGGAGGGGCTTTCTATGGGGCGTGGGCCAAGATGCAGAAGGAGGGGAGCTCCACTGGGCTTGCCCAGGACCTCTGAGGTCACCAAGTCCAAACCCCCCTTGTTTTACAGATGTGGAAACTGAGGCCTGCCTTGTCTAAGGTCTTGGAGGTGGCTACCCACACAGCCCGATTCAAAGCCAGGGCTCCTTCCCTTCCCGAGATCCCACACTGCTTCTCCAGGGAGGGACCATGCCCTCCATCTGTGTATTTCTCCCAGTCAGGCACACAGAAAGAGCTGCAGACATACGGGTTGAGCATCCATGGCAAATGCCATTGGGAAATGTGTTGTGTATGAATGAAAAGTCACGTTAAAGGTTAAAGAAGCCTGTGGCTCTCAGGATCAGTCCGTGGAGAGGCCAAGGAGGTCCATGAGATGGGAAGAGGCCATGAGGCTGGGCACAATGAGCTCCAGCTTGGGAGGCAGGAAGCCCTGGGTTCCAATCTCACCTCGGACACTTAACTAGGGTGTAAGCGTTTCACGGTGACCAGGCAGACTGGCTCTCCCCCATCACTGGAAAAGGCTGGTGGGCTCTGCGGGGGCTCCCTCACTCACCGATCTTAGATGGGAAAAGGGTCTCGTCATCCAGCTGGTCCTGGACCCACGTCATCAGGTAGTCGATGTACTTGGGAGCGGAACACTTAACTGGCTTCTTGATATTGGTGCCGTCGGCCCAGTGATACTCGTATCTGTAGGAGAGATGCTTTGATGAGAAGGTGGCAAGAAAGCCGTCCCTCCCCAGTCGACTTGATTTAACTCGATTCAACATTTCCGAAGCACCTACTATGTGCCAGCTGCCACGGCTACCAAGACCCTTTGAAAAGGGAACTGGTGCCTGCCCTCAGGGAGCTTACATGTGAAAGCAGAATCCTATTGAACAGAGCAGTGTGCAGGGGGCCAGCTGGACTCCAGTTCAGTCTGAGGTGGGAAGAGCTCCTGGAGCTATTCCAATTCCCCCCTCTCCTACCCTCACAAATCCCCCTACCCCAGAGCCACTTGTAAAGGACCCAGACATTAGAGTAGTATAAGAAATGATGCAAAGTCCCTCTGTGAACACAGATCCATTGAGACCCCTTAAAAGTCACACCAGCTCATATCTATCACTCAGTCAACAAGCATTTATGAAGCCCCTACTATGTGCTAGGTGCTGAGATGACAAAAGACAAAAATGAAAGAGCTCCTTGAGGGGCTCCCAATCTAGCCAGGGAAGACAACACAGATACACATGGGTATGTACAAAATGAAAGACTTGGCTTTATATATGTTGATCTCACTCATTTTCACAATCATCCTGTGAGAAAGGTGCTATAATCCCCATTTTCCAGATGCAGAAACCAAGACTCAAGAGGTTAAGAGATTTGGACAGTTCACACAACTGCTAAGTGTCTGAGGGGAGGATTTGAGCTCAGGTTTGCTGGACCCCGGGGATAGCGCTCTGCCCCACTGTGGGCTGCCTCTCCCTACTCTTCAGATGACATTTTTACATAAAGAAGTTTAAAAAAATGTCTATTTTCATTTTAAACTTTAGATCAAATAAGACTATATGCAGACTGTTCACCTCAGAGCACTCGCCCAAGGGAAGCGCTCACAGGTATTTCACCTTTTCCACATAGGGCACCAGGGGATGAATAAAGGCCTGTTGACTGACTCAATGAGGCAACTTATTAACAAGGACTACCTGAGTCACGCCTGACTCCCCCCAAGCTGCCTCTGGGGAGAATGTCCATGAAGCCAGCACCAAAGAAAGGCTGAGTCAATCATGACTGATGGAAGAGGAAGACCTGCTCCATGGAGAAATGGCATCCACTGATGCTGCATCTGGGAACCTAGCCGTGGCTGCTGAAGCATGCCCAGCCCGTGGTGAGCCCAAAGCTGACTCATTACCTCTCCCTTCTTCCCTTCCCTATTACCATCAAGGGCACTCCCATCCTCCGAAGCCCCCAGGTTCAAGACCTTGGAGTCATCTTACACACTCTCTGTCATCCCTCATATCCAAGATGGTGCCAAGAACTGTCTATTTCACCGCCCCCCCTTCTGGTCAATTTCACCGCTGCCCCATCTCTGGTCAATTTCACACCCCCCCCCCTTTACTCTGGTCAATTTCACTTCTGCCCCTTCTCTAGTCTATCTCACCATCCCCCTTCTCTGGTCAATTTCACCTCTGCCCATCTCTGGTCAATTTCATCCCCCCCTTTTCTCTGGTCAATTTCGCCTCTGCCCCATCTCTGGTCAAAAGATACAGAGGTGAAAACTTTTGTAGCATCTTTCAAACATGCCCACTTCCTTCCTCTGACACTGGCACAGAGCATCATTCCCTCATGCCTTGACCACTATGCTAGGCAGCGGGGGGTCAGCCTGCCTGAGGCCCTCCCCACTCCAGTCCATTCTCCATTCAGCCACCAAAGGGATTTTCCTAAAGCCCAGGCCTGATCAAGTCACCATGGGAGCTCCAGGATCCAACCCAGACGTCCACAACCTGGCCCCTCCTGCCTCTCCAGTCTCGTTCTATAGTCTTCTGCTTCAAGTACTCTATGAAGGTCCTGCATACTGGCCTTCCTGCTGTTCCTCCCACAGGACACTCCATCTCCCATCACCATGCCTTTGCATAGGCGATCCCCCATGCATGGAGTGCAGTCCCTGCTCCCTTGTCCCCCTCTTAGACTTCCTAGGCCCCTTCAAAGCTCAGCTCAACACCACCTTGCAGACTGTCCTGGTCACCCAGCTGCTTGTGACACCCCTCCCCAACCCTGTTACCTCTTATTTATTTGGTATATATTTGTATCTGTACATGGTGGCTTCCCTATAGAATGGAAGCTACTTGAGGGCAGGAGGCCGATTCCATTTTGTCTCTGTATTCCCAGGGCCTGGCACATTTCCTTGGTATCAATGGGAACACGAAATGCACCAAGAGGCTGCCAAGGAGAAGCAGACATTTTTGAGCCCACAGGCACAGAGAGGGTAGAACCAATAGGGCCAGCCTTCTTTGGGCAATGCTTGGGATGCATCTGTAAGTCACCTAACAAACACAGAGGCCCTGGGAAGTGCCTCTTACCTGGGGCCTGCAGACATCACTGGGCAGCTTGCTTCTGTGCAAAATTCAGTGATCGTCCCATAGAGCATATTGATCTGGTTAAAGAAGTCCACGGCTGTGGAGAAAGAAGAGAAGGGCTGCATTAAATGGGGGCCATGCTTCCTTACTTATTACCTGTGTGACCTGGAACAACCCACGTAATCCTTTGGGGGCCTCTGTTTCCCCATTTGTCCCAAGGGAATAACAATAACTTGGCAAAGCAGATGGAGAGCTGGCTTAGGAAGACCTGGGTTTGATTCCTAGCTGTGTGACCCTGGCATGTCACCTGAGAGGGCCCCACAGCCAGTATGTGTCTGAGGCAAGACCTCCCCGCAGAGGCCATGCTGAGAATGTAGAAAGAACACTGCACAAACCTAGAGGTGTTTCATAATGTCAGCTATTCTGATCACTGTTCTCATCGAGATCTCTGCCTACCTCCCATCAGCATGCACTTATGAAGCACCTAATGCATGTCAGGGACTTTGCCAGGTGCTAGAAATGGGAGGAAAAATGAAACAGTCCCTGCCTTCAAGGAGCTTAGATTCCATATGGGTAGATCTCTTAAGGGCTCTGTGCCTCAGTTTCCTCATCTGTAAAATGAGGGAACTGGACTCAATGTCCTCTCAGGCCCAACCCAGCTATAAATCCATGGTCTTATGTACATTTACAAGTACATGCAGGTACATCCAGAATAAAAACAAGCTCAAATTCAGCCGACAGGCATACAGCCCACCAACGTGGCCCATGGGGGGCCTGTATGTGCAGCCGCTGCAGTGTGTGTGCGTGCGCGCGCGTGTGCGTGCGCTGACGGGGAATGACTTGTCAGGGGCTCCCAAAGCACAGACTGGAGGAAGGAGGAGGCACTTAGTGGTGGAAAAGGGAAGGCTCATCCCCAGAAGGGCTCAGCTCCACAGGATGTGATTCCACCCACACAAACAAACCCCCAGCCCTCAGTGACAAGCAGAGTAAACAAAGAGGCCCCAGTCAGCACAGCGGCTGCTGTACAGAGAACTCCGGGGGAAGGAAACTCCCTCGACCAGGGCCAACAGCACAACTTATCATCTTGTAGAGCTGCCCAGAGCCCTGAGAGGGGAGAGACGTCGAGACCTGCCCCGGCTCAAATGGCCAGAATGGTCTGAGGCAGGACTCAAAACCAGGGCTTTCAGGACTGAAGGCTGACTCTATCCTACATGCATGGCACCTCTGCATTTCAAAATTAAAACAAGTATTTGAAATAGAAATGAAATTGGGGTAGAGAGAGAAGTGAAAAGCGTTAGCAAATGTTATCTGGCACCATTTTACAGCGAAGGGGATGGTGGCCAAGGAATATGCCCAGGGTCAGACAGCCAGTAACCAGCAGAGCCTACGTTATGCTCAAGAACTTCCGGTGGCCCCACATGCCCTCGAGAATAAAGTGCAAACGCCCAGCACTGCTTCCTACGTTTCTACCTTCACATTATTCTTCACACATTCAACAGTTCAGCCAAACTGGCCGTTCCACCTCTGCCTAGGCCTTTGCCCAGGCTGTGCCCCGTGCCCCGTATGCCCTCCCTCCTCACCATCCCTAAGGCTCAGCTCCAATGCCGCCTCTTCTAGGAAGGCTTTCTTGATTTTCCTGGTTGTTCGTGTTCTCTCCTCTCACATGGGGCTGCCATAGTGCACTGAGCACCGAGCCTGGAGTTGGGAAGACTCATCTTGAGTTCAAATTCAGCCTCATACCCTTCCTATCTGTGTGACCCTGGGCAAGTCACTGTTTGCCTCAGCTTCCTCATCTGTGAGATGGAGAAGAAAACGGCAAACTCTTCCAGTATCTTTGCCAAGAAAACCCTAAATGGGGTCAGGAAGAGTCAGATGTGACTGAAACTCTTCTCACACTAAGCTGCGTTATTTATCCATTCACCGGAGAATGGAAGCTCTGCTGCTTGTGTTTATCTCATCTTCCATCGTCTGGGGGCGTGCCAAAGCCTCCCCAGGTCTTCCTTCAGAGGGTGGAGACTGGGCTCAACTCCCTCTGCTCGGTACCTGCTGCTGAAGTGCTTTCAGCACTGAGATCCCATGGTTTTAACAGCCTGAGAAATCTCTCCACCAATGCTGATCGCAACCCATCTACACCTTCTAAGAACTGACCTTCACTGGGGAGGAGCGTAGGGAACTCCTGGGTGGATGGGGAAATTCCCTCTATCAGTGCAGGACTATGACTTCTCTGAAGCTTAAGAGAGGGCTGCGGAGCACCTACGTCACACAGCCACAGCACCCGTCAGAGAGAGGGTCTGAATCCAGGTCTTGAAAGTCTGCTAAAAGCTTTACAGACATCCTTTCATTGGAATCTCACCTCAGTTCTGGGAGGGCAGTTCTAAGGTTATGATTCCCATTTTATAGGTGAGAAAACTGAGACTCAGAGTTCAAGTGACTTGTCCAGGGTCACACAGCGGCTAAGTGTCAAAGACAGGATACGAACACACGTTTACTTGACTTCCAAGTCTAGCATCTCTAACCCCTTACGGGGTGCCCCAATGCCTCTCTGGGGATTGTTTCACTATCTTTGCATCCCCAGGGGCTGGCACACAGCAGAGGCTTAATAAAAGCTTGCTAGCTGACCACTGACCACTAGAAAACATTCTTCAAACATGCCTCAGTACAAAGTTGTCTACGTGTTCCGGGGCTGGCTAAGAGGGGAGCCAGGATGAGATTCAGGCAGGATCCACCCAGTAAAACAAAACAGGACCCCCGGGCCAGATGCCCGAGGGGAGGGAGGAAGGGTGCAACTTAGGGTGCTGCAGGCTTACTGCCCGTGTCCAGCCCATTAAGGAAGGACCACAAAGTCAGGGCAGGGAAGGAGCCTCACCCAAAATCTGATTATCAGGCCAGGCCACTCCTGGGCAGGTCCCGAAGCTCTCCTCCCTCCTCCTTTGAAAGCCCTTCCCAACCTGGCTCCCTGTGGCCTCCCAGAATCAGGCCACAATATTCCCCTTCACATTCTCGGCTCCAACCGGAGCAGATTTCCTGTTGATCCCTGCATGCAACAATCTATCTCCCATCTCCAAGCCTTCGCACAGGCTGTACCTCATGCCTGGAATACAATCCCTCCTCACCTCTACCTCCCAGAATCCCAAGACTCAGTTCAAACACCACCTCTAACATGAGGCCTCTCCTGGTTCCCTCCTAGTTGCTAGCCTCCCTACTCCCACCCCCCATGACTAGGTATTTACTTCTATGTGTACATGTGGTAAGCTCCCTGAGGGCAGGGACAGTTTCTTTTTGTCTCTGTATCCCCAGTGCCTGATGCAAGCAATAAATATAAATAGCTTCGTGGATGGAGGACGGGAAGAGGTAGGAAGGGGCTGGTAATAGGTGGCTTCTGCTGGAAAGCCCCTCCACCCACTCAGCCATTCTCAGCTTGGGTTCTAGCAGGGATTTGTTAAGCAAGAAGCCTGACAGAAACAGAAGATTATTTTTGAGCCCCCATCGGGGTCCCCCAACAGTTGGCCACAGCATCCCTCCCAGAGTTACCAAGGATGAAGAAGGACACCACTCCTAGCCAGGCCTCTGGGGAGGCAGCTTCATGCCTGCCAGGGATCACCTCCTCTGACTCCCAGGAAGGAGCCTTCCCGAGCCGGCTGGGCCTGGGAGGGCCCTTTGGGTCCCCGTCCCAGCATGCCGGGCGCAGAGGGCTGAGAGCGACAGCGGGGTTCTCACTCCAGACTCTGCTGTACAGTCATGGCTGCCACACTAGGAACTGGGAGACCTGGGCTCCCAAGCGCCTCTCCTCCTCCCTTCATAGGTGTCTGAGGTCTCTTTCAGTTCTAAATCCTAGCAGCCTGCCAGTGTAACCCTGGGCACATGATTCTCCTCCTCTGGGGCTCAGTTTCTCCATCTGTAATCCAGTGATTCCTCTGAGGTACCTTCAAACTCTAAATGTGATGCCCATCCCTGTGAAGGCAAGAGCAAGGGGTGCAGTGACCGAGCGGGCACATGATGTGGCGACAGTCATTGCTTACTCACGGGTCTCTCTGTTGCAGCCAGCTTGGTCTCCCCCAAAGAGGAAGGAGGACCTCCAGGGGCCACGGGAAGTCCTGAGAGATCAGTCAGCAACAGGAGGCCCACCGAGGCTCTTCCCCAAAAAAGGGGAGCCGCTCCCTCCCAGGGACGATGCTGGGCCTGCCCACCAGGGGGCCTCTCCAGGAATTATCAAAGGCAGAGGCAAATAGTAGGCAGCAGTGACTGCCTGCTTAGAAACAAGGCAGCTGCTGTCCACATGACCACAGGTCTGACTTCTTCCCCAGCATCGAAGAGAAGGCATGTTCATTTTCATCAGTTAGTCCCTTTCTGGCCTTCCTATGCTGGCCTCCTCTCCACGTACACTGTGATCCTTTCCAAACATGACACTCCCATCTCCGGCCTCCAGGCCTTTGTCCCGTCTGTCCCTTGTACCTGGAAGGCTCTCCCTCTTCTCCTTCGCCTTGCCTCTCGGCTTCCTTCGAGATTTAGCTCAAACCCCAGCTCCTGCAGGAAGCCTTTCCTTTCCCCTCTCCCCACATGCCTTCCCTCTGGAATTTCCTTCCATTTACACGGCCTCTATTTTTGTGGGGCCAGCTGTTTGAGGTTCTCTCCCCCAGGAGAATGAGAGACGTGACAGCCAGAAGGAATCTGGAAAACTGCACCAGGGATTGTGAGGCTCTGGGCAAGATTGCCCGGGGCACAGGTGGCTCCAAGTGACCCTGAAGGAAGAGGAGACTGAGAGAGTGAACATCCGGGCCCAAAGATGGCCCTGAGAAGAGGGTCCTGCTCTCAGCTCCCGCCTGGGACGCGCCACACCCAACGAAGACTGTCAAAGGCTTTTTGCCTGGAGTGGCTGAGAGCCGGTCGAGGGGACACCTGCCTCCACAGACCTCCCGGGTCAGAGGCCCCGACACCCGGCAGGAGAGCAGCCAGCCAGGAAAGGGCCGCTCCGAGCCCACCGGCAAATATCAAAGCAGAGGGTAGAAGAGAGGGGAGCTAGCAGGGGGCCTCGAGGAACCTCTGAGGCCAAGCCCCTCGTTGACAGCTACGAGCTAGAGGGGGGACTCAATAACAACA